ACGGCCCCTCCCTCGCAGCACATGTCCCATCAGCATTCGCCTTCCTCCCACCAGTACAGTCCCTAAAGCTCCATCCGTGAGACCCTTTCCAGGACTGCAATGCAGCCTGCAGTGATGCAGCCTGCCCCATGCCCCTTCATTCTCCCCTATGCAACGTGGAGATCCCCTCCCATACGACATCCCTAGTCCCTCCATGTGTGCCTAGTTCTCAGCTCCATGGACGTCTGCCCCAGAGCACAGCCCCTCCTGTGACAGTGGTTTCTTTTCTCTGAGTCAACCCTTCTGCCATCCCTGTGCACTATCCCCAACAGCTTCCAGGTCAACGCAGGGGTATCCAGACCCTCCAGGTGGGGGGAGGGGAGGGCATCAGGACAGCATTTTTCCAGGCATCTTTATGCCAGCAGATCTGTTAATCTGGTCCACTGCTAGAAAAGTGCCCAAAATAGTTGGGTAGTCCTAACTGCCTGGCGTGTTTTTCGTCTGTCACTTTCCCTGGTGGAGTCTTGGTGCTTTGGAGCTTCATGCTGTCCATGCCAAATCATGCACAGCTCCTCCAGGCACACACAGGCCTGAAATTTGGGATTTATTAGCCAGGGTGATATGCAGCAAGCCCGGGGCTCATGTGGGACTGGGGAAGGCAACACCAGGCAAAGCCCAGTGTGGAGAGGGTTTTCCACCACAGCTGGAGAAATCCAGCTGCAATAAATGCTCCTCACAGGGTTCCAAGTCCACCCTGACCTGCCAATGTTTTTAGCAGGGCTGAACCCAACACTTTACATACCGGCTTCTTTCTGCAAACTTGTTCCCAGAGTCTGAAGGGCTATAATTCCCAGCTGTTCCAGGTACCCTAGGCAGAAACAAACCAAAGAAATGTTCCATCAAATAAACGTTTCTTCTGAGGAAAGAAGATGATGGATATTTTGAGTTCACCCTGCTTTTGGGTCAGGTACCACCCTAGCCCCTGACCTGGGCTCCCTCCACCTGCCTCATTTGTGGATCTGGAGCCAGTTTCCATTTTTGTGCTGCCTGGGAGCTACTGCCCATACCAATGGGAAGGCAGTTGCCATCTCCACCAGCCAGTTCCTCCCAGTATGGGGTTCAGTCATGTTCCCCCGGGGGTGCTGAGCCAGGGGAAGGAGGGTAAGAGATGGTAAAAGCCAATGAAGACTGCAGGGAGCTCGAAGAAGAGGTAGTATGAGCAGGAAGGAAAACTCGGGGGGATCCCAGGGAGATGCTCTCTGATTCCTGCAGGCTGTCTCCACTCCCCACTGTGTTCCTGTCAGCCCTGCCATGCGGCAAGAGTGGCCACAATCCTGCTGTGCTTAGCTCTGCTGGAAAATTGGGTCCCACCACTGTGTTCGGGGCAGTTCATGGTGTGGCATGTTGGATGTCGGATGGCTTCCACTGGTCCAGCTATGGGTGCTGAGTGAACCTATTCCCCTCACCCCATTTCTCTGCTCCCATGTTTGCCACCTTTCAGCTACAGGAGCCTGTTTTGGGTCCATGGGTCCCAGGCAAGAGCTGACAAGGACAAACCAACCCTCTCGTCTTCCCCAACTGGGATTAGGGACCAGCAATGGCCCCTGTCCCTCAGTTGGGTCTGCAGGGGAACAGAAAACCCCTCTTTAATGTACAAACTTGAAGGACGACTAAACTATTACCACGTGATGGGAAAGATCTGTGGCAGACTCTGAGCATGTGTGGCATGTCTGCTTTGGGGAAATCCTTTTTCTCTGTTTTCTGCCTTGATTTACCGCAGCCATAAGGTCTGAGTACCTCCAGGCAGACAATAAAAAGAAGTAAATCATCTTTCTCTCCTTCCAGGGCACCAGGAGGCTCTGCTGGGCAGGCTTAGTGTGGGCATGGAAGTCACTGTAGAGGTTGCCTAAGTGTGTGTTTATGCGTGTGTTTCTGGCCTTGTACGCTCTCCTTCAGTCCTCCTCAGCTCTCCCTTCTGTGGGCCAACGCAGGCCTCATGGGAGGCTGCAGAATCTGGTCCCCCAACCCATTCCTAGGCACTCCCCACCTCTCTCCCTTCACTCCCTGCTCTGGGACAGGGAATGCCCCAGCTGGGGGAATGGGATGAACAGACGCCCCCCCCCCCCCCCCCCTTATTACCACCGCCTC